GTGATCAAACGTAAACAGTGTGGAAGAAAAGACATGGTGCAAAAAAACCAAAGATATTGAAGTTGAGAGCATTAATTTATATGGTTAAAATATGCAGTATTTTGGTGTGGTGTTGTCAGTGTGATGCAGAGTTTATGACATGATTTACAGTTTTTTTTATAACAGTTAAGCGTTCTGATGGCAGTGGGGAAGAAGCTGTTGCAGAATCTTCTGGGCTTGCAGTAAAGGTCCTATATTCTGAAAAATTTACTTTAGAAACATTTTGTTTCAGTCATATGTTTCCTGAAGCCTGTGTATGAGGTTTACAAATAAAAAAAATAAAAAAAACCTTTCATCTCTATGATTGCCTTTCTCCACCTCTTAGCTAATGTGTGCTCAAAATGGTATGTTTGAAAAGCATTCCCCTTATGATGTCAGAAGGGGGGAAAGCTGTCCATAGGGGTCTGTAGCAGCGGATCGGTAGCTACGTTGTTCATCTTATGTATTATTCCAAGCTCTTTGGCTATCTTTATAAACCTTTATTGGTTGTCATAGGTGCAGGTTGTGAGGGCGTGGCTTTTGGGAAGATGGGTGTTGGAAAGCAAAAACAGTCATCCAGAGGTTGGCTGAATAAAGAGGTTTTGGGTAAATTCTGTGTGTCTAATCTGAGGAATTTTCCTGCACAAATGGAAAAAAAACATGTTCTGGGGGGCCTCATTGATAATATTTCTTATCTTCAGAAGTAGTATAATATGGGTCCTTTAACATACAGTATTTAGGCCAACATGCTCCACTAGTCATCGATCCACCTACTACTCTTTGATGATGGCCACTTTTTACAAAGCCAGAGTCTGCACACGATTTTTTTTCCTCTGTTCAAAGGGCAATCTAAAATTTTCTGTTGTTAAATACACTAGATCAGTGGTCCCCAACCACCGGGCTGCAGACCGGTACCAGTCCGTGGGTCATTTGGTACCGGGCCGCACAGAAAAAAGTATATATATAAAATTTATGGACGATCAGAGTCTGAGTGATGTTTTATTTTGAAAAATATAAAAATAATTGCGGTATTCTCTCCCAATTACATCAGTCGGTGCATCTGTGCCTCTTGACACAGGTTAATTCAGTTCAAGACTCATCCTATCTATAACATCCTATCTTGGTGAGGCGGGATTTTCTGCGGTCACAGCGACCAAAACAAAGCTACAGAGCAGACTGGACATCAGGAGCACACTTCGTCTGTCATTTTCTCCGTTTAAGCCTAGATGGGACCGGTTTGTGATGCTGTTTGTATTTGATTTTATGCCACTAGTATCATTTTACTTGATCGTACCACCCCCCTCCCACCCGGCCGGTCCGTGAAAATATTGTCTGACATATAGCGGTGCAAAAATGGTTGGGGACCGTTGCACTAGATGACATCTGTCTGTAGTTTATTTTGAATTAGTTATTGAAGGAAGTTATTCCCACCCTTCTATCTCTTTTACCTCAAGAAAAAACATGTTGGTTTTGCTGCAGCAGCCTGCACATGGTTGATAAAAGATGTTGTAGAAATGCAGAAAATTACCTGCTGTTTGAACAATGATGTTGACTGGATTCCAAGTGGAGTATTTTTGCATTCCCAAAGTGAAAATGAGAAATAAAGGACCTAATTTTGTAAAAAAAAAAAATTTATTTTTTTATTTTTTTTATAGTTTTTGTTGAATAGTTGGTCCAACCTTTATTTAATCACTGGGATCAAAAATATTTTTCACAAGGGAAATTTGTGTTAACTTGAATCTGAAGACACAGAAATTTTTCTACCAAATTCTGTTCCATGACTGTTGTCAGATTATTTTTCACACATATTTTTTCATCACAACTGCTAGACTATAAAATATGTATATGAATATGGAAATTGAAAAGAGTCCGTCAGGCTTTTCACAGAGAGGGCTGAGTCTCATGTCGCTCTGAGTGACTTTTCTGAAGAAGGAGCCAATTAAAGTTAATGAGTCTCAGTTGTGCCACCAGCAGATTAGTCCTATAAGCCTCAAATGGGGGTCACACCTTCAGCTTGTGGCATGACTATGGGGGGCATTTAGGTCTTTGTGATGGCAGCAGCAGCAGCAGCCATGTGGCTTGCCGAAGGTTCCCACTTTGTTTTCAATGTGCTTTAATAAATTATTGTATAACCATCTAAAATGCTGCACTAACTTCAGTTTACCAAGTTTTGTAATATTTGCATGGCTCATTGGTAATTAATTAATTGTTACCTCCAACACTGAAGCTTCGATGCAGGCTTCAACCTCGACAGGGTAGTAATGGTGGATCAGTGAGCCAAAGCTTGCTTCATGTGACGTCACTGACATTTCAACCGCTTCACTGCTTCATTTAGACCAAGTCAGCAGACTGCTTTGAGGAATTGCATTTAAGATTGGTCATGATGTCACCGTTCCACACACATTATTAGCAACGAACAGCCCTCGTTTTTTTGGATCATCCTTTCATGGAGCAAACATCAAGGAAATGTCCCCAAGTGTGGGAATATTTCGATATGAAACATCTAATAAGATTTTATATATTCACAGTGTTTATTAGAAAACCTAAAGCCTATACTATCCAGTAGAATAATATTCATGGTATCATGCAAGAGTTGCAGTTCTTACAGACAGCAAATACATAATAGGTAAGATGAATAACATAATAACAGGGTCTTACCTTGGTATTACAGATGCTGTAGTGGAGGTTCAGCAATACTTATCTTCTCCTCCTCTGGACCAAGCAGAGGATCCACTGAAATATGGTGCAGAGCACAAAACTCTCTGTCCAGATCTATACCACCAAGCCAAACAGCACTTTGTCACACCAGACCCATCTGTTCCCTGGAAAAGAGTATTTTTCAAAGCTGCAGTAACTGTCTCAAAAAG